TACCCAAAATATTGACCGAAGTCAAATTAGCACATTTTATAGTCAAAACTTATCATTTTTCACAGATTTTCATATTTAGGCTTTCCGGTTACGCGCTCGGACTGCGCACACAAATCGAGGTGGCGCTAAATGAGGTTTTCAGGGCCTCGGAAATACAAAATGTAATTTAAAAATAAGTGATGACCCTTTTTGGGTCATCACATATGAGTTGCTCCAGTATTCACCATTGCACGAGCGGACTTGTTGTTGACGGTGAGATCCACGTACTGATTTCCATTCTCGGTAGGTTGGATAGCTTTCTTTGTGACAGCACCACATAATCCGATCATACCCAACTGTGTGGTTCCCATACTCTCTCCTTGCGGCTGCTTCTTTCGTTCACGGACTATGTCGCTGAGGCTCTTTAGGTCGGGATAATTCCTGAAGCCGAGCAGACCTCCGCATATGTAGCATCTCTTCTTCTCGGCATGCGCCTTCTTCTCGGCGTAGCCCTGACGGCCACTCGACTTTCTGGAATCTTGAGTCTTGGAGTATTGTTGTTGTATCTCCTTGCCCTTGCCACGGTCTCCCCCACCTTTGACATTGTTAACCTTTAACTCCTTGCCTTTGCCTTTGTCGTGCTTGTCATGCCTAAAATCCATCAATAATTCAGCCTCCACTATGGCTTGGTCTATATCCGCGACTTGCCGGCGTTGCAACTCCTGCTTAGCCCAATTTTGCAACCCGTCCATGAAGTGGGACAACAAGCCGTCATTGTCAGGTTGGGGATTGAAGCATTAGGGTAGTGAACTCCTTGACATATTCACGTATGCTCCATGTTTGCTTCAACTCCCTAAGCTTGCGCCTTGCCTCGTACAAGACATTATTTAGAAAGAATTGTCGCTTAAACTCGGGTTTCAAATGATCCTACGTGCTAATAGTACATAAACCATTATCCACGTTGGCCATCTTCCTTCTCCACCATAGCATGGCAGTCTTTAAGAGGTACAACACGACAGTATTGATCTTGGGCTCATCGTCCCTCACTTTGCCATGCCTGAAGTAATTCTCCAAGTGCCAAAGGAAGTTTTCCACTTCTTGTGCATCATGAACACCTTTGAACAACGGGGGTTTGGGAGCCTCGATCTTGGCCTCCCTCGTCACCACAACATTGCTGGCTGCCTCGGTCATGCTATCATCGACATGCTTCTCGAGTGACTCTATCTTTGCCTTCATAGCATCGATAGTACTCAAAGCCTCCATGAGTCTGTACTCTAAGGCAACGATGGTTTGCCTTACTTCCATCTCGGTATGTGTACGTCCCTCCAAGACATCTCGGATACTCTCAATCTCTTCAAGAGTGTGCCCCTTAAGAACGCTAAGGGTGCCTTCCATCTTCCCCATGCGTTGGCCAAAGATCTCCACGGCGTCCATCCCCACGTTCATCTTCATCACCCACACTTTACCGAGCGAGACGTTCTCGGGTAGGACCTCCACTTCATCCTCGCTCGCTTCAGTGGCAGATGGTTCTTAGGATGTAAGCCCTTCGTTTGGCAGAATCTCAGGCGGCGCCTTCTGGCTCTTGTTGGTGGCATTCCTGTTTTTGTTACGGCCGCTCTTGCCAACAGCATCCTGGATGACGTTGGCTTGGGTGTTGGCAGCGTTAATTTCTCTATCATTCGCCATTCCCTTAGTTGCAACCTTTTCTCTGATACCACGTTGTCACGTCCTTAGTCTTCAACTAAGTACACGTGCGGCACTTAACAACTCGCTCACGATCTTGCACAACTTGCTCACGTTCTTGCTATGCCAAGTCAGCCTTACTACACCGGGGGTCGCTAAGGGAATATTAGAAAGAACACAAGAGAATTGCTAAAGGAAGTTTTGTATTAGAGAGAACTTGAATTGTTTGCTTGGTGAATTACAAATGAATGGCCCCCTTTATATACTAGTCTCCTAGGAGCTAGTGTGTAAATATTAAATGTTACACAAGTCCTTAATATTTACAAAATAAGGGCTTTCTCTAGAATTCTCTACAGGTCTAGAAGATTTCAAGGACTTTCCTAGCAAATTCATAGGGATCTAGGGTCTTCCAAGGGAAATGTCCATACTATAGAATCTTCTCTCAAATGCTAACCTTCCTCCTATGTAAGCTTTTATATGGCATTAATATATACCAAGCGGCACCTACGTGGGATGATGTGGCGGGTCATCACAATGTGCTTATAAATCGTATTTGTTGTCGGTCAGTCGGACTTATCTATCGGGGTATCGACTGTCGCAAACTGTGAGGACTTGCAACGTTTAATTAAGGACAGAGATTACTTTATCAGAACCATGAGTTTTATGTCCCCGCAAATTTATTTTCCCAGCAAATTTCACATTAGCACCACTAATCTCAAATATCTGCTAGTAAGTGGAAATGGTATTTAATTGTGACTTCCCATTTAAATTTTGACACCTGAATTGAATAAAATCATGAAATCTACAACCACCACTACTACTGAGGTTCACATTAGTCTTTGGTAGCAGGACTATAGCTTAGGATCTCGCTAGCTTCCAGTTTATATAAAATGTACGTAGTTAATAGAGGTTAGTATATCTTGATATTTTCTCGCGTAAATGACTACTTTTGCGTTGACTCTCTCTCGTTGGGTAATCGAAATATGTTAATTTATATTTCCCTTGTTAGAGTTAAAAGAAAATATGTAACCGATTCAGGGGGTGAGTCAATGAAAGCACTTTTCAAAATAAGCTAATTTTAGAATCACGGCCAAACATGCTAGAACATCTAGTCCCTCTACTTCCTGCAACGCTTTTGACGGGTAAGCTAAAAGTAGGAGGTTCCATTAGTCCTTGTTGTTTACACCATTCAGCAAATGTACAGTTCCCTGATGCTGAAGCTCAGTGCACTCTTAATTTCCTTTACAGTTTTACTTTTCTCCCACCAGATATAACTCAATTGCATAATTCTCCATCTCTAAAACTTTCCAGTGCCCACTAATTGAATCCTAAATAGTGTTCACACAGTTCAGAGTTAACAGAAATAACCTCCAAGGTCTAATAAGTCTAAGAAATATGAGAAGAACAAAGGAACACAGTGGCGAATGGTGAAGTGGAGAATAGAAAGAAGAGAAAGGAAAGAGATATCTGAAAAGGAGATCAAGGGAAACAAACAGCTTTTAGCTTGGGGAAGAGGATATCAAGTAAACAGAAATATGGCTCGTGAAGGTCGGACTCGGCAAATTCATCTTTATCGGCCATTAAAGCACAGACAATACCCTGATAGATATGATATAAGCTGGTTTACCGTGAAATCTATTTCAGTAGGGCGTATGATGTTGATGGCCCAAGGTAGAGCGCTCAATATGGCAATCATAATATAACTGCTGATGCCATCTAATAAGCTCAACATTAAGGAACAATGGCCTTGATTATGCAATACATGCTCACTCTATTCACAGAAATATAAACCTTTAGATCTAACCCGTCCTAGCCCAGACCAGAGAATTTCACATTGTATTCATACAAAATTGTGCTTTTTTCGTGTAAAAGGTTTGTGAAGGGCTGCAGGCAAGAAAATGGGCAGTGTAGTTTAGCAACAGTGGTACAATCTTCTTTCAGTACTCCAAAAGAAAGAATTCACAAATAACAACAACCCCTAAAAAAAAAAAAAAAAAACCCAGTGTAATCCCATAAGTGGGGTCTGGAGAAGGTAATGTATACGCGGACCTTACCCTTACCTTATAAAGATGGAGAGATTGTTTCCGATAGACCCTCGGCTCAAGGAACCGTGGAAGTAAAACAACCAAGCAACAAACAATAGTAACAACAATGTAATATGGTACCGAACGCGAATGACACATCATGTAATAATAAAGAACCATGAATAAGAAAATACAAGAATATTCCAAGTACTACTGGAAATAATTCACAAATATATTCACCTTAAGGTCATTAAGCATCCACTAACAAGTAGCAACTTACATATATGTGTGTGTGTGTGCACACACATTTATATAGTATTATCTAGAGCATGTATCAGAAATATATAAGCATAGTTTTGAGAAACTCGAAGCCAACAGAGCAAGCCAAAGAAACCCTGATGAGAAGTATCATATTTTGCAACCTTTGCATTTGTAAATACTAATCCATGAAATCAAACCAATATTCATAGTACAAAAGGGTAAATCATCCCTAAAATAAGCTGTACGAGACCAGAAAGTGATCTCTCCAGCATGGCAGTAGCTACTAGCTGATGCCGCAAAGCAGAGAAATCTAGTAAATAACAATCTGGAATCACTTACATCATCAGCCGCCGAAGAGAAGCGCCATATCCTACAGCAAATTGTGATGTGCTGTACATGTTTTCAAAGCTCTTACCGGTGGTTCCAGCTCCATCCACTCGTGTAGAAAAGTTAACTCACTAAGGCCCAAAGTAGAAGCTAACCATTGCATCAGATACTAATTTTTCCATTATATCCTCAATACTGATTAAGAGACTACTTTTTAATGCATAATTAGTTTGCAACTTCTTATTCAAACAAAAGGATAGTAGATTCAAATAGCAGAAAGCTAACATCTCCTAAAAATTTGCACATACCATCAAGGACTAATTGAGTCTCTTCACTCAGAACTTCAAAAAAGCTGAAGAGAATTTTATGTAGAAGCTAGAAACACCAAAACACGCTAATATATCACATCCCGTCGCTACTATTGAATCTGCAAGTGAAAGAAAAAAAAAAAACAGAGCAGCCTCACAATCAGAATAGTGCGTAGATCATGCAAGCTTCTCTTGTTACAAATTCGCTCACACTTTGTTTCCCTTTGATGTAACATAATAAAATGGAAAAGTCAACTATAGGTTACTTCCTAGGAAATTTTAGAAGGTTCACTTAAGCATAATCATTATCCCCCAGATAGATATTGTCAATCACTATAGAAACTATACTTCATTTGACCCAAAAGAAAAGAGAACAATCACACCAATAAAAAGGAACAATTCGAAGACAACAGTAAGCTCGATAGTTCAAATCCTGGTTGTCGTCATCTTGATACAAATTAAAATTAAAACATAGATTACAAGGAAAGAATGTCTTCTCCTTCCTTACCAGCAAGTATCATACAATTTATAGTGGTTCTTTCTCCAAGATAACACAAATATCTTAAAAGAAAAGTTTGCATATGTCATAATATCCACACATATATAGATATGCACAACTTAAAAACATCAACATAAGTAAAAGTTGTTTGAGAAAGATATCAAATCAGCTCCGTACTGAGAAAATAGACTTCAAATTTGACAGAAGTAGCTCGAGTGTGACATTGGCGAACACACAAAGCATTTAATCCTCCAATTCAGTGGAAACATCTATCGCAGCGATAGATGAAAAAACACAGTAACATAAGTAGTAGTATCAATCAACCATCAATGCATTTGAAGCCCCTGCAAACACACAACCAAACTATGAACAAAATGGTGCAGACGATTAAATCCAACGATAAGACCACCCAAACTTGCTTCTTCCACACTTTCTTGGCCTTTTGATGCCCCACTTCTCCATGAACCAATCCACCATTCTTTTGCATAACAACTGAAAACTCTCTGCTCAATTTGATCCCATGATCATCACAAATATCCACATTCACATTCTTCTCACTAACCTCTTCATGCCTCTTCTTAAACTGCCCGAAAAACCTCTTCTTTTTCTGCTTCAAACTATTAGCAGCATCAGCAAGCAACGGCATTGACCCCATTTTCTTCCCTTTAACAGAATCCAAACTTGAGCTCCGCCCGTGATCCTCCAGCTCACTCCTCGTCGAATGGGAACCTTCACCCTCATCCACATCATCGATACTCGAAACCAACAGCTGGTGAAAAACCGGGTTCAGCTCACCCTGAAAGCAATGCGAATGGAGTTTATCCAATCTCTTCCTCCCAGATGATCGGTCCATCACTTCGCGAAACGCGCCTTTAACCCTGCTTAAAAACGCTAGCCCATCAGATTTTTCAATCTTTTCATCAAAAATGGCGAAAAACACAAATGCGTTTTCGATTAAGAACGTGTACGTCCTGTTACGGACGGTGTGGGTGAAAAAAGTGTGTAAAGGTGGAGTCTTTTCAAGGCATTTTAAGGCAATGGAACCAAGATCGGCATCTTTCGAATTGATTTCAGCAAGGATGATTGTTCCTTTAGCAACACAAGCGTAGTAGACCAAATTCGGATCCGGAATCATCATTTAGGTGACCCGAAATAAACAAACATCCAAATCAATCGGATCCGAAACATCCAAGGAGAGGAAATGTAAATATATCAGTTGAAATAAATAGATAGAAATAGCAGATATGTATGTAAATCTAGAGAAATCTATAGAAAGGAGAGAACATAGAGATTTTGATTGCAGATTATTGGGAGGTGAGAGAAAGATTGAGGAGAGTTAGGGTTTGGGAGGGAAAGGGAAAGCAGGGATTGTTCTCTCGGCCATGGGAGAGAGGAGAGAGGGAGAAGGAGAGAGAGAACAACCCGTAATCAAACTTTTATTTCACCAAAAGAAGGGATTAGATTATTTGGAAATAAGAAGGATGGGATTCGATTATTGTTCTTCTTTAATAATCTCTTTTATCTTTTTTGCATTTACATTCAAGTTTATTTGCCTCTATCATTCAAAAAAAGTTGGAGGGGAAGTTGATTTTTTAGCAAAGTTGACCTCTCTCATTTTAGGCCTTTAATCGACTGCATATCTATTATTAAGATAGTGCATTTAAATATGAACATAGTGTTTACCCGCAAAACGGTACAGTTGAATTTATTCGTGGCTTATAAACAAGCGATTCGATTTGATCCCAAAATAATAAATAAATTAAATACAATGAAAGACTTAGCGTTAAAATCGAGATAAAGTAGCAGATAGCTTTGGTTCCGGGAGCAAAGCTTCCGGAGGCAATAATACAAGTATTAGTATGCAAGAAATAAAGCATATTGAGCTTTTGAATAGTATATAACATAAGTTTGTTAGAAAATTCGTGTCCTTACAATGGCTGTTGAAATCACTATTTATAGTTGCACCTATGGAACAAGGTCCTAGGATCAAGCCCCTCTTAAATGACAATTATGGGGGCCATTGAAGAATGGGTAACGACAGGCTATGAATGCCATAATTCTCTATAACGCTATTTAATATTGCAGAATATTCTTCATTGAATGCTACCGGGTGGCTCGCGCTCATTTGTCTTCAGTAGCAATATTCCCTTCGGGTGCTCTCCGGTGCTAACGGAAGTTGCTGACCCCGGTCTTGATTTCCACCTGTCTTACTTTCCGTCTACCTCTGGTTCCACGTATCTCTCTATTATACGAGTATTTAAAATGAACCGATAGTCCCCCTGCTTTCTGGTGGCACATCCTTGTGTCATCGAGAAGTTGGTGAAGATACCTTTCTTGGCGGAAAATTTTCTGATCTCCTCTAAAAAGTTTCTGACGCTTGATTAGACGCACGTTTCTCCGCCTTTAATTCCCCGAACACACGTCACTCCACGATTTAGCAGTACTTCCGCCAATTCTCAAATAATCATGGCCACGATTATAGCCACCTATTCCTTTACTTATATGCCTCACCCTCCTTCTTTTACACTTCATAATTTTTCAAAACTCCCTCAACTTCTTTTCATCCAACTTTTCCTAGCTTTCACTCCTCTTTGTTTTTCTTCTTCAAAGAACTACTTCCATCTGCTAACCATGGCTTTCTCCTCCAAGAACTCTAGCTCTTCAAAAATCAAAGAAAGCACCGATGATGCTACTCTTCCTACAGTGAGTACCATTATCCCCAGAAATCTCAATACAACCAAGGATCCTGAGAAGAAATTTCCTTCTGCTAACTCCCGCACATGGGCTGTTGCTGTGTACCCTTCTTCCATCCGTCCTTCTAGCATTCCTGCTGTGAAGGAAGACTGTGGTTGCCATGACTTGAACATCATTGCTCCTGATCTGGCGGAGCGAGTAACTTTCCTCAATAAGGGTTTTACATGTATTCCTTCACTTTGGGCCCATTCTCATTGAGCGGGGGACTTGACTCCGTAATCTTGGAGTTTTGCTTTCGCTATCAAGTCTCCTTGGCATAGGTGAGCCCTTCTGTGTGGCGGATGGTAGCCTGTCTTCGGCGGTTATGCTAGGAGACGGGGAAGAACTCTCCCTGGCTCGAATGATGAACCTTTACTTCCCCAAGATTTCCGCGAGGGAATGATAAACTTCAGCAAACATGGTCACCATGCTTTCACTCACCAGCATTGATGATTACAACGACCGTGGATGGATGGAGCGGTTCATTGTAATTACTACCAAAGATATCATCCCGGCCACAACTCCATCTTTTTTTCCCGAGTCATGGAATCGTACATGTAAGTTCAATGTCTGTTTTTTTATGATTATAAAGGTTGTTCCATGCTATTACTGACCCTTCTCTTTTCATTATTTCAGCAACTCGGTGGACACCACCAAGGGTTCTTGGACCAGTAGGTCCAGAAGATTTTGGACGTCCCATGCCTAAGACCTGCCGGTGGAAAGATTATATTGTTTTAATCTCACATTTAAGAAAATTGACCAACTTCACTTTTTGTTGAATTCAGGTCTTCCGCAGGGCTCTGTTACCGTCCCCGAGGAGGACATTTTGGCTGATCCCGCAGATACGGCGAGGTTGCTGCAGGAGGCCTTCGCCCGATCGGGTGTCCTCGGACCTGCTTCTGGGGAAGGTGCTTCCTCTCGGAGTCCCCGCCGGAGAACATGCAACAAAAAGGCAACGTAAATGGTTAAAAATAAAAAGGTTAAAACGCCGCACCTGAACCAGTCGCAGCCACTGTGGTGATCGATGATGATTGGGGAGCCACTGATGGAGGGGCTTCCCTACAGTGGAGACGACGACCTTCATCAACTCAACAGAATGCTCAATCTGCTAAGCTAATAACACCAACCAATGACGACGCCCAAGTGGTCTGGGAGAGTATGATAAAGTAGAGGATGCCAACTCTCGCTTCCGAGCCCCATTCGTTGCTCCCGGTACCGTAAGGTTGGGTGTCAGGCCTCTTCCGTCTTCGATTGATGAGCAACCAATAACTAGCATTACTTTTGCCGCAGCTGCTTCTCAACCCTCAATGCCATCAGCTTTATCTCCTTCTTCGCCAATCATGCCTTCTCCACCACCAACTGCTACATCATCTCCACCGGCCTCAAACACCCGAGAGGAGGATGTCCCTCATCTGTAGTTCCGAATCGATAGGAAATTGGGGCATAACTATTCGTCCCCCTTCGTAGCTCCTAGAAGGAGGAGGAGTGTTTCCCTCTCGGTCTCTATCGAGAGCCATTTACTGTACCGGCCAGTGAAACTTGTTAATTACCTGAAGCCTCTGGCTTTAAAGAAATATAAGAATAAAATACATTCTCTCTCGGGGGAGTGTATGATAAACAATTCCATAGACAACGCAGCAGTGATACGATGTTTGTTCCCTCTACTGTTTCTTCTAGCTTTGCTATGACAGGTGTAATGACCTGACCAATCGTTTTGCTTTCTAGAACCTCATTCCCCTAAATAAGACTTTCTGTACGTGTTTTTACTATTTTATAACTTGCGAGGATGGTTAGTTCGGGATTAGGAAGGGTTCGGATTGAAATCGGAACACTTGGTTCCTTAAGTTGGCCTTAAAAGACTAAGTTTGACTTCGGTCAACATTTTGAGTAAACGACCTCGGAATCAGTATTTGATGGTTCCACTAGGTTCGTATGATGATTTTGGACTTGGGCGTATGTTCGGATCGGATTTTGGATGACCTGGGAGCATTTTGGCGCCTAATAGTGAAAGTTGGTTCTTTGAAGGTTTTAGAAGTTCTTTAAATTTGGTTTGGAGAGGGTTTTGGTGATATCGAGGTCCAAACGGGATTCCGAGATCGGAAATAGTTCCGTAATGTCATTTATAACTTGCACGCAAAATTTGGTGTCATTCCGAGTAGTTTAAGTACATTTCGGCGCATTGGGAGTAAATTGAAGAACTTGAAGTTCATAAGTTTGATTTAATTGGTTTTGGGGTGTGATTCTTAGTCTTAATGTTGTTTCGGGCGTTCCGAGAGCTCGAGCGAGTCCCTTTTATGATTTCAAACTTGGTGGTACGTTCGGCGGGGCCTCGGGGCCTTGAGTGTCAATCGGACGAGGCTCGGACCAAGTTGGAAATTGGGAGCAACAGCTGAAGCTCCCAGCTGTTGTCATAATCGCACCTACGCTTGGCCAGCAACAGGTGCGAGCCACTAACCGCAGAAGCGGACCAGCCAGGGGAAGCCAGTGACCGCAAAAGCGGACAAAAGATCGCACCTGCGAAGGTGCAGGTACGAAGTGGCTCAAGCCGTAGAAGCGGCACTCACACCGCAGAAGCGGGACTGCAGGAGCAGCCTATGCACCGCAGGTGCGAGAAACGCTGGAGGCAGACCCCAAATTTAATGCGGGACTTAGACCTTTTGAGCTCATTTATTCCATTGTTTGGGTGATTTTTGGAGCTCTTAGAGAGGAGATTTCACCTAGCACTTTGAGGTAAGTAATTCCTACTCAATGCAAGTTAGATACATAGTTTATGGGTAGATTATAACATATAAATTAGTGAAAATTATGGGATTAGGTGAAAACCTAGGTTTTCGATTAAAAAAATGAGATTGAACCACGAAATTGATTATGGAATTTAGTGAAATCATATATTTAAGTTCATGAGGTTATGGGTAACAATTTTCTTCAAAAAGTTTTGGAATATGGGCACATGGGCCCGGGGGTGAATATTAGGAATTTTGCAAATAGGCTTGGAAAATCACTTTGATAGTTAGGATATGAACTTTTAAGCATGTATTAATTATTTTAAATAACATTTGACTAGTTTCGAGTCGTTTGGCTAGATTCTGTGGCATTCTTGGGACTTGTTGTATCAGGTGAGGGTATTAAGGTGGATCACAAGAAGATTGAGACAATTCAGAGTTGGCCTCGTCCCACTTCGACGACTGAGATCGGGAGCTTCCTGGGTTAGCAGGTTATTACCGCCGGTTTGTGGAGGGCTTTTCGTCTATTGCAGCACCTTTGACTAGATTTACCCAAAAGAGTGCTCCGTTCCGTTGGTCCGATAATTATAAGGCAAGCTTTCAAAGGCTCAAGGCAGCTTTGACTACAGCACTGGTTCTAGTGTTGCCTTCCGGTTTGGGGATGTATACGGTGTATTGTGACGCTTCACGCGTTGGCTTGGGTTGTGTATTGATGCAGGAATGGCGAGTTATTGATATGATTCACGCCAGCTGAAGATCCATGAGAAGAATTACCCTATGCACAACATAGAGCTAGCCGCGATTGTTCATGCTCTTAAGATCTGGAGGCATTATTTTTATGGGGTGTCCTGTGAGGTTTACAGTGATCATCGCAGCTTGCAACATTTGTTCAAGCAAAGAGATCTCAATTTGAGGCAGCACAGATGGATTGAGTTACTGAAGGATTATGACATCACCATTCTTTATCATCCGGGTGGGGCGAATGTAGTCGCGGATGCCTTGAGCAGAAAGGCAGAGA